CCCTGAAAATTTTGATCAAAAGTAATTAACTGTGATTTCAAAAAGATAGAATTTATTCCAAGTCATCTTAGAATCTTAGAGTTAGGATGACCTTAATAAACTTCCACTCCTATTACTCTGATAATCATACAATGAGTGTACATGACAAGAATCTCCTGTAATCAACCAAGTGAATACAATTTAAGAGTGGCATTTTGAATATTGTCTAAATGGTCTCGTTCAAATTCCAACAAGACCAACCTGGACTCTTTCTTTTTAGTACTATAGGATAAAAAGCAACCAATTATAAAAGCAATTAAGTAATTGCATATACAATTGGCCACTTACTGACTTGAAATGAAGGACAACTGGCTAGTTGGTAATTAGCTAATGAATGGCTGTTATATTTAACAAACTGTTAAACTTGTCTGTGAAGTAACTTGCCCATAATGGCAACCAAAACTAGACCCTATCCATTTCCTTAAAAAACAAGTACACATGTGAACCTACCTGCCTATCTTTAATCTTGTAGTTTTCCTTCTCTCTTCTAAATGCATGTTGTACTAGGGCATTTGACAAAAAAAGTGCCTTGGATAGCACTTCATTGCTAAACTACTTACTAAACTTCTATCACATTACTTCAGTTCGGAATTAATAGTGGCTAATGTGTATTGAAAACTGTGTCGAGGGCTAAACATTCTCTTACTTAACACTCCTAAGTCTATGAGCTTAGTCTATTATTATCCTGTTCTGCAGATGAGAAAATTGAGGCTTAGGGAGGTTCATCTACTGGCCACAGTCACACAACAAGTAAGGTGGGAAAAGAATGAAAGCTTTCTCACTCCAAAGCCTGCACTGTTACTCGCTATATAGAGTGACTCTAAGAACCTTTGCAAAAGTCAGCTTACCTAATGAATACGCTTATCTACTGACTAGAGCTGCTTATCGATGACCCATTTTGTGGATGGCTGTCCAGGTTTGGTGTGTATTGGAGGACGAGGTGCAAGAGCTCTAAAAGCTGTCTAGTGAGAGGTACAGAGGCAGATGGTGGCAGAGATGGTGAATAAGTGTTATTGGGCGATCCCAACCATTCTGACCCAGTTGGTTGGAACCTGGCAGTATGGAATGGGTGGAGGGAACTGACAGAGGTCATCCTGCTTGAAGGTCCAAAGTGTCTGGGGCTAGCCATGCGCCTAGACATACCCTTCATCCACCTACTGAAACTCACTCGGGTACATGGACCCGCCTCTCTTCTTGGGTGGGGTGACGTAATGTCTGCTGGTCCCCCAACCCTCTTCCAGTTGAGTCTAAATGCTGGCTTTCTTTCCAACCACTCCTGGTGACTCTCCACCCCTGGGATCTGGCCTTTCTCTTGAACTGATCATCTACAGAGCTTGGCTCTCTGTCTGCTCCTTCCAACGCATTTCACATTGGGTGGGATGAGTCACCTCTCTTAAGCATTTATACAGCACCTTAACGCCCAAACATCCATTACCAAGCTTCTTTATCTGCCTGAAATTGTTACTCTTTGCATTTTTAACATTTGCTGTTATTCAGAAGATTGCCCATTGTATTTAAGTTCCATTTTGCAGGTGACAAAGTCGACTCTCTATGGTGTTCTAAAGCACTACAGCTAGCACCATGGTTAGAATTAACTTATTTTCCTCCTTCTTTAGTCACATCTTTCTTCACATGCTTTAATCTTCTTAATCCTCCCACTTGTATTACTTTTTTAAGGTTAACTCTGTAACATGCTACAAAAATAGATTTTGGAGAACTTGAAGTTTACATTTGCCCCTAGAAACTAAACCTGAGATTTACCATATTAGTTATAAAAACTATGATCCAGTAGGGTCTTATGGGTAACTGTTACCTCCTAGGAAATTGACAGAGGCCCCCAGAGAGTCACACAGAACACTTGGGTTTGTCGAACAAGGCTGCTACCAATGAGGCCCACATTAGAGCTTGCACTGTTACTGAGAAGGGGAAAAGATATGACGAAAAAGGTCTACCTGTGCTTGGTTGCCGGAGTGCAGGGGTGGGTGTGGCGAGGTCTGGTGATGTGCTGGGTGTGCATGAAGGTGGGAGTGGGAGTGATGATGTGGGTGGTTCTGCTGGTGATGGGGTTGAGGATGAGGATGGTGTGCTGGGTGCTGGTGCTGGTGTGGGTAGGGGTGATGGGCTGGCAGTGTCTGGTGCTGATGTGGGTGTGAGTGCATGTGATGATGTGGCGTCTGGTCTTGCCGGGAGCCCATCATTTCCATCATGTGTCCCATGGTGTTCATATTCCCATTTGACATGGCAGCAGGGTGGTGAGTCAGCGCAGCCTTCAACCTCTGAAACAGAACAAAACAAGAGTGCACAACTGAGGTCAGTCATGTACACAGTAGGAATTCCAAATCAAAATTACTCATTTTCAATTCAATAATATTTTATGATACTATTGTTAACATTTTCTTTTTACTGGTAGCAGTATGGCTTTTATATTAATTTCAATTTTTCATATATATTTATAGGAGGTAGGAGGCTCAGCATCCATCCGCCATAAATGTTGATTAATTCAACTGTTAGGGCAAGTGTACGGGATACCCTAGGCCTTCTACAAAAGGTATTTCCTACTCTCCAATTGTTCATCACATCCTGATGATAGTCAAATGCAAGTACAAATCCAATGGAACCCATCAGTGTGATAATGCCACTGAACAAAGGGCCCACCTGATATGGCACTGTGTTTTATAATGAGTCACAAGAATAAAAGATTTCTGCTACTCAAAATATTTCTCAGACTCAAAGAGGAAATAACTATAAATTTTAGAATACAGGAACAGTCCTAATGTTATTTTAAGTCTTCAAATGAGATTAGAAATCCATAACTTTGGGAGGCAATACGTGGATCTTTCTATTTCTTACAATGGTATTTCTCATCATCTCTCCAATAATCTAATTTTCTCACACACTAACATTCTTCTGATTTGGGGAAAGAAATGAGGAAAGCAGAAGAATATGGAGTATTACACTTCCACAGCTTGTGATGACCACATCACAGGCCAGGTGTAAGTCTAACACAAAAGCACATCCATCAACAAGCAAACAGACATGCTCCCAGAATCTAACCCCTAAGCAGAGGTCAGCAAACTTTCCTATAAAAAGTCAGACAGTAAATATTTTCATCATTGCATGCCTTTAAGGTCTCTCATAACTACTCAACTCAGTGCTTTTGGCACAAAAACAACTGTAGATGGTATGTAAACAAATGACCATGCTGTGTTCCAATACAACTTTATTCAGGGACAGGAAATTTGAATTTCATGTAACTTTCACGTGATACGAAATGCTATTCTTCTTTTGATTTTTTTCAACAATTTAAAAATGTAAAATCCATTTTTAGCTCCTGCACTTTGCAAAATTTAAAGACTTGGTAATAAGCTTAGTTGCTGTTTCTTCAAAATTTGTATTTTCTTGTACACAGACAATTATCATATCCTGAGGGGCACTATGTACTAAGTACTGTATAATACAGTCACTCCTTGGAAACCTATCTTCTGCAGAGATGACAGTCTAGTTGGCAAGCTCACATTGGCTTCATAAAGTATTTACTAGGGGACTCCAAATTCTCTCCTGATTTGTGTTCTTATCTGATTGTTGATGGTGGTGTGTAATCACTGAGAAATGGAAAAGGTGCATTAAATTTGATGATCAAAGCAACCACGCTCCAGCTCTGTACAATATTAATGATTCTCAACCGGTCAGGGTAAACTATTGATAAATACAAATTCAATTCAATTCAATTCATCAAAATCCTTAGTTAAACATAAAGAGCCTCCACTTGTTAAAAACAGGGGGGGCAGTTTGACAGATTATATGTTAATATTTGATAATCACTGAAAACGTTCCCTGCATCCTCACTCAGTGGTGACTTGCTTCCTCTTTGATGAGCAATGTCTACCACACAGCATCTACGGACATTCATAATGGTTGTCCTGAAGAAGTTAAGCTTCCTGAATCCCTGGGAAAGATTAATGTTGTGTATTGTGTTTATTTCTAAACATAAAACTGATACCTCTGATTTTTAGGAATTATTTAATTGTCTTTATAAAACTGCTCATTATAATAAATGAGCAATGCTTTTAAAAGTACAATTAAATCAGTAACCAATGAACCAAATGCATTGTTTATATTTGGTGAGTGAACAGCATTCCAGACAATTCTATTCATATGTAGAGATGGAGGAACAAGTAGAATAATCTCATAATAGCTTGTGATTTAACAAAACTCTTATTTGAATAGAACATAAGCAGAAGAAGTGAAAATGGAATGAATTGTTGGACTTCAGACACGTTTCTTTACTCCAAGAAAAGTTTCTAAATACCTCCGAACTTAAAGGTGAAGAAAATTATGAAAAAAATTATATTGAAATATTTTAGTTGACATTACTAGATAGCACTGATGGACTTTCTAAACTATTTTTCATAATTTCATTTATATAAAAATATACAGCTGCAGAGTTAAAAAAAAAAAACCAACAACTACGAGAATATGAGGAGAAAAAGTGAAAGTCACCTGCCTGCCTCCTTCCTTCTAAGCCCCCTTGCTCAGATGTACCCACCAGGTATCTGCAGACACATCCTTAGCACTTATCAGAATACGTTTGTGCAAACCCTTTGTATGATACATGGTTCTGTATCTTGCTTTTTTTTTTCACTTCAACAATATATATCTTCAACACCTTGCTGCAGCAGTAAAAAGAGCTAATAATAATGGCTGGCATGAATTGAGCACTCACTATGTTCCACTCCTCATTCTGTGTTTTACAGGAGTTAACTCACCTAATCCTCAGAACAACCTTGCAAGGCACAAAGAGGGGCGAGGCCCTGTGCCCAGGCTCTCTCCGCTGGAGAAGGGTGGAGGCGGGCTACCTTCAGAGTCTGCTCCCTTCACCACCAGAAGGCATGCCATGCACACTTTGCCAAAAACAGGAATAGACTGTGTTATGCCACCTCCCCATTATCCAATGGGAAGACAGAAAGAAGTGAAGGGCCTAGAAAAAAATGACAAGACAAGATGCCATGGCTGCAAGGTCTGGCATGCAAGCGGAGGTCCAGATACACTCGTTCTGAAACTTGGCAGAGGGCAGGGTGGTGGTAAGAATTTCCAGGCAGCTCAACTGCAGCAAAGGACCATCCAGGGCTTAGTCTGATCACCTCCCTTGTTACACTATGAAGAGTGGGTACTTATATTCGCCCCTCTCCCCACCCCACTGCCACAGCCCATAACCACAGATCTGATAAGGTCCACGCATCCTTTCTCCCCAGTCCCCCTTCCTATCCTTTGGGTATGTCACTGTTCTAGGTCTTTCTAATGTTCAGAGGATGAAAGAAAGGCAAGCCCTTAGTACAGCCTACACATAGGCACCGTGGGGTGTGGCCCGACCTTCCCACCAACTACAAAGGTTTGATAGTCTTCTCGCCTAGGAAGAGCTTTCCTTTCCCTCAGCCATTTTCGAGCTCTTGGCTCCAGGGTCCTCCTTCACAAAATTCTCCCCGGTCTCCTGGTCTAAATCAATTCCTGTTGTTACATGCTCCCAGTAGGACCACAGTCCACTTTTTAAAATTCAGTTTATAGTTAAGATTTTTAGTATCACCATTCAATTAATATCTGCCAATAATTCCAGATGATAAGCTTCATGAGAGCAGGAACCATGTTTGACTTTCCTCAGTGTTAAATTCCCAGCTTTAACACAGAGCCTGGTACATGCTGGGCACTGAATTCATATTTTTGGAAAGAATGAATGAATGCATGCATGAATGAATGAAACTATCTAAGGCTTATGATGGGAATGTAGCATTTTCATCTTGGATCACTGCAGGTGGTATTTGTAGGAAAGGCTAATTTTATCAGTCAACGAAGGTCAGCAGAATGACTAGAGAAGTCATACAGGCAGACATAAAAGGACTGTCTAAAGAGCTCCCACTCCACACCCTGCCTGCCCTCTAAAGAAATGACAACAGGAAAAAAAGAAAACAAAAGAGGAACTGACTTAGACCAAGAGATCAGGGAGAATTTTATGAAGGAGGATCCTGGGGCTGAGAGCTCTAGAAAATGTCTAAGGGAAAGGAGAGCTCATGCCAGGCAAGAAGACAAAAGGAATAAACAAAAGGAATGAACATTAACTTCATCTTGATATACTGTCCCTGAAAAAGTGGCATGGAAAATTGAAAAGCTGCTTAGGAGTGGGTCACTGCGTTATCCCTACAATGCTACAAACAACTTTTCCACCTTTAATTAAAAGCAGATGGAGCCTGACAAATACATACTATGCATCAGATCTTCATCTCTCAAATAATTAGCTTGTACTGTTAAGGGAAATTACTTGATAGCCTCAAGTCTATTCTTGCATGTTTCACGCCAAGGCAGTAATACTAATAAGGCTTGTAACATTCCATGTAACTATTCACTCAACAAATATTTATTGGGCACTACGTTAGGCACATTACTATTTGCCCACTACCCGAAAGAAATGCAAGACACATAAAACCAAAGCTTTTTCAAAGCACTGGAAGGAAAAACACACCCTTAAGGGTCGAAATGAAGGCTTTCAAGCACCCCTTAGAGAGTCTTGGGCCTTGGGTTGAGTCCACCCCCAAAGCACCAACCTACGTCATCTTTGAAGGAAAGCAGTGAAGACAAATGATGATTGAGCCGCTTTGCACATGCCACATTTAATATTCTCCATGTCACTTCTCAACAGTCTGGGGCATTTCTCAAAATCCTAAAGAGCCCACTGCCTCCCTGGACCCTGGGCACACTGTAAGTCATTAAGACACCAGATACAGATATTTGTACCCAACTCTCTTAGGGATGATAAATGACCAGCAAATGAGTCCAAGCTGTATTTTGCAGAATGATTTTTCTTTTTGAAGCTGAACTGGGTATTAGTTTAAATAACATTCTATCCAATGCCAAGAAAAGGCAAGGGAGAGAGAAATTAATGAGCAGATAAACATATATTTTTCAGCTATAAAAACCAGGGCTATTCCTGAGGTGCAATTGCAAGAAAGAAAAAAAATGATTCTGTTTACTTTCTATCGTCCTCTACCACATCCATTTATTTGAGAGAGCAAATCAGGAGAGACAGCGAGAAGTCTGACACAGCTGGCTTCAGTCAATAGGGGTCATTTTCATTTGGTCTGTGTATTTTATAAGTTCCTTGTTCACTGTTCCCAATGGGAGGGTGGGCCTGCTGCCCGGGATCTGAGTCTTGGTAAGAAACCAGCTGTCCACCTCATCCCACACCACGCACCGCCGCTGCCATGATGGCTCAGTCCCAGTGCCTCTT